ATCTGAACACTGATACAGATAAAGTTATCGGAACTACATGGACTTGCACAGATGTCTGCCTGGTTTCCTTGCTCTGGAACACATTTAAAAGCAAAACTGTGACCTGCACCTATGAAAGGTACATGGAAACCCCAGCTCACAAGTTTAAATAAGATGGGTTTCAAAACCATCTTCCTAAGTTCTTCCCTGTCCTATACCTTTGTCTTACCTGAAGATTCAGTATGTGAAATCAGTGAAATTTGTTTTGGAATTAAAGCCATGCTCTTACAATACTATGCTACTATTTTTACAGCCACATTAATAAGCATTTGCAAGATGTGAAAAGGCAGCATTACTTACCATCTAGTAATTCCAGAGTAACTGAAGGATCTACATATTCCCACCAGTGTTTTCCATCAGTTGATACTGGAATCTCCCAGTTGGACCACTTGCAGGCCAAGTGAATGCACACACAAGCTATCACTGTAGGCTTGTATTGAAGACAGAACGTAGTAAGGTGAAGACTGTTGCACACAAATTTTGTAATGAGGAACCAAAGGAAATCAAACATGTAAAACAAGAAAACCAAACAAATCAGCCATTAACACACAGCTTAAGATCATTTGTCAAACAACAGCAGTTAAACAGCAGCAGTTCATGGAACATTTTTCTGTTTAAATTCTTAAGGTGCCTTACTGCCTTAGTAAAACAAAGGGCAAGGCATTTATCTGACAACGCTTAATTTGCTGTTCCTGTAAAAAGACCGGTTAATAGTAAATAAATTCACCACTTTTTTACATAAGCACTAAAAAAGAAATTAGTGTAATATGGACAATTAAAATTATACCTACGCTAAAGGAAAATACAGTTCATTATACAGTCTTTGGTTTAGATGATTAGATGAAGATACCCAAAGTTTCACAGAGGCCAAATGAATTACTTTTGAGCTTAGCTTTCACCATGCCTGAGTTTGCGGTACTTGTGAACTCAACTGTAGCTTCCAGCTGGCAGCAGCACAGAGGCTTCGGTTCAGCTTCACTGCTTCATTGCAGCTTAACAGCTACTTCAAATACAGAAATCTGCCCACTAAAGAACCACCAAGAAATGTTTGTCTGGAATAACTAACCAACCAGTAGATGTTACTTAAATACTAGATAGATCTAGTGTAATCCTAATAAAGTGCAACGTTGTCTTGCAAGAAATAAACTGCAGTCATCATGAAATCAACACTAAAGCCTACTCTCAAATTCTGTCTCTCTACAACAGCCTATCCATACACAGTCTCCATCTGGAATCAATTAACTTCAAATTTATGGAAGTACTTAAGTTTTAAAACACGTATTTAAGATTAAAGAGCTGTTTCTAAAAGGAAGAACACTGGATTACTTCTAGTCTATTTGAAATGAAAAAAAAAAAATAAAAATCAACCAGATGAAAAGACTTGAGGCCCACTATAATTTTATAAGTTAAGACTGGATCAACATATTTAAAGTTAAGAGAAAACTGCCATTAACTAGAAGTGTAAACTAAAAATAGTTTTGTACTTACCAAGATCCTCGAATTTCTAGGTTAAGTTTAGCTCTCTGTAATCTTTAGCTGCTATTCAGGCTACCAATTTTAGACTTATGCACTCACAATCGAGAAAATGTCATCAGAAAGCACCACTACACTTCTCATTGTGCATTTAACCCCTTTGTGCCATCAAGCCCTTGTACAATACACCGCACTGCAAACAGAAAGGTACCACCACTGTAGATGGCCCAGTCTCCTGTTGCAACAAGGGTAAGACACATGTAGGGGGCCCTGCAGTAAAGGAAGCTATAGTGTGCTACAACAGTGCAACAAAGAGGTTCAGGATAACAACCTGTTGGTAGCCATGAAATAGGATGTCTGTGCCAAATCCTTGCTTGCTGTAAGAAAAAGAAAAACAAAGTGGTTAAGGATCTATGCTAACTTATCAGGTTCATTCCAAAATTAAAAGTTTTTACCTTCCAAAAGCACTATTTACTATTTTCACAGAACTGACTTGAATTTAACTAGCTAGCCTTTTAAGTCTTTCCAAGGTACAAAAGTGTCCATTACATTCAGTAACTGGAGATGGACCAGGCCTTTGGTCCACTGACTCTCCCTTCACTCAGCCCATAGAACTGTTTCCCTTTCCTTATCTACCCCACTAAAGCCTCATACATGAAAGCACTCTTCTAGAAATACTCGACTCCCTCCCCCCACCCAAACAGCAGACTGCAGCAAGGCAGTCTATAAAAACCAAACACTACAATGCAAGTTCTGCTCTTAGAGAGGAACACGACAGTATGGCTGGAGAACCCACCTCCCCCCATAAAACTGTAACCACGTTTCTCCCCAGAACCTCAGAACACAGCTCCCAAGCTAGATGGTTAGAAAAACAAGCTTTCTGCTCCTTCTAATCAAGAGCACAGTACTCGTATCATTTTCTTCCACACTTGTTAAACCTGTGTCAAAGCTTCTGATAAGTAGTAAACAACTGCATTTTTGTCAGAAAAAAATATGCAAGAGACTGCAACATACCACAGACAAAAAGCCAATGACTTACACTGTTACAACCATCTAGCATTGACCCCTACCAGTGAAACCCCAGTGATCCTCACTCAAGTAAAAGAACTTACTGTAACATGTACATAATGGGATAGCTGGGCACAATGGTATTAATTGAAGATTGAATGCAGCCTTCATTGAATTCTTACTTTGACGCTATCACTTGAAATCAGTGCTACCTGCAGAAAGTGTATTGTTGAATTTTATGTCAAAGGGTATACTGTCACAAAACTTTATTTTAAATGATCTTTCGATTAAATTTGAGAAATACTGCAGTGGCCTTTAACATTTAATAAAAAAGAAGTGTATTAAAATCATTTAGCTATTTTTAATGATTGCCAAAGAGTATAAATCAGGTTTTTCTTCACGCTACGCAGATAGACAGTGCCATAATCTGAAAATAACATGGAAGGAACGGGGTAACAGGATCCATTCCTGCACACAAATTCTGCTAATCCATGATAATCAAAAGGCGAGCTACGTGACAGGGTTATACTATAATTAGTTTGCAAACTACAGTGGTAGTTTATGCCAGATAACCATGGAGATCAACCTTTTCCACTCCCTTTCATAAAAAAAAAAAAAAAAAGTACAAGGCAATATTACCGAAAAGAAAAACTAAACTAAGATCATAAAAACAAATGAAAACACAGAATGGTTTAACAAGACTGAAACTGATGTCTTGCTCTTTGTTTTTCAAAGTAATGTCTGAAGGACCTTCAATAATTTCTACGTTCTGGACAGTTACAGCATGTTGTAATTAAGGGACTGGACCAAGAGGCATCTCTACTCTTAGTGAAATGGCACTTTCAAAAAAGGAAGAAAAGCAGATGCCAGAAAACTTCTATTTAACATCAGCTTGAAAGTTGAGTAAATCAAAACACATACCTGGAAGAAAAGAATCACATCTTGAAACAAACATTTTTAGCCTCAGTAAAAAAATTAATGTGATAAATACCTTACCTACACTACAAGCAGTATCATACTTGTTTGAATGGATTTACAGCTAAATAACCAACACTGCCAAAATCAGAAGGAAGTTCAGCTCAATAATTAAAACTCTCTGTAAAGACAAGGCACAATTGAAAACAACTGTCCCAAACTCTTCTCTTACATTTAGAGCAGTTCTTCTTCAGTACAGTCTGCCCACTAAAATTAAAACTAATAAATCCTGGTTCCTATATTTCCTTTATAGCAAAGTAGAGGAAAGTTCATTCCCGAAATCATATTAAGTACACAGGTTAAAACAAGCCAGCACAGCTTGCCTGTTACAACTGGTAAGATGTAGGGCAGATGACCGATATCGGACATTAATAATCAGTTTCATATTTTTTCATTCAGGAGTGATTTAAAAAACTTACCCTGTCTCACCACTGCAGAAGCAACTGTAAGGCAGGGGATTACTTAACCAAGATTTTGAAACAGGACTGGCTGTCTGATACAACTCCCGGAAGCCTACTGACTCCAAGCAATTCCCAGTGTGAAGCAAAAATGTTTTTTATTGGATATGGTCACACAGATACACTGCTGCAACTCCAAGATATTCTCATTCTTTTCTTCAACACTAAATTTAACTTTGATCTTGACATAATCATGAAAATGCAATTGCCAAGTTACCCTTTGGAGCACAGTGGCTGGGACCCTGAGAAAACGTGCAAGCATCCCCAGAAAAAAAAAAAAGACCAGGGATAAGCCAATCAATATCAGAAGACTAGAAGGCTGCTGAAATAGTTGTGAGGGGAAAAAAAAACCCACAGGCCTCTGAATGGAGCTGTTGGCAGACACTTGTTTTACCTAAAAAGGACTGGAGAAGGCCATAGCATAGGTCTTCAGGTCTGATCAGTCCTGGCAGCTTTATTTTTTGGAAGCTGCTAAACCTTGCGAACAGGCCTGTAAAAGACTGAGGCGAAAGTTCAGAATGCAAAAGTTGCCTGTAGCATGGCTTGAGTACAGCTCACATCTAAGATTTTTTCCACACCACTGTACTGAGATCTAAGTTGTCCTCAAATTGATCTCTTCTGCAGACTTGATAAGCCTGATTTAACCCCACTATGGTTTGCTTGAAGAACTTGACAGTGCAATTTCCACAGATGGCTAGCAAGGATCATGGGAGTTCAAGGTACCTTATAACCTGCAGAGTAGTGAGAACAATCTTAGAAATTCTTGTGATTCCATCTTCAGTTCCAAAAGAAGGTTGTGTACCAACACAAAAAAAGGAATGATGGAAGACTTCCCAAGATGAAGATAAGGAGACAGATTTCTCCCTTCACCAGATGCAGCTAAGAACAGACTGAGTGTGCACCAGAGCTTAAGAGGGCACTGTGATGGTCTTGGCTCTAGGGCAGTTTCACTGCTCAACTAGAATTCAAGCCAGTGAAGGTAGTTCGGCACAAATCAAAATGATTGATTTTATTTTTCTTCTTCCCTTTTTCTCTTCATCATTGGAGCATCCTTGGAGTGGGTACTGAAGCTTGCCTTTATGGATCCACTGCCCCAGATTCCTTAGAAGACCTGTGAGATCCTAAGGAATGATGGTCCTGTCTCCTCTTCTCAGTCTCTTGACACTGAGGAAGAATGGTGCAGAAAACAGACTGAGCCCAGACCCATCCTTGACTACTATACTGACTAAACCGTAAAGATGGAACAATTTTATGGACCCATGAAACTCTGAAAGCAAGAATAACATCTTACACCTAAACACCCTGATCAACATATACAAACACACACAAACCCAGTCACCCCTTACCAACAATAATCTATTTTGTCTACTATGACTTTCAAGAAGGGTTTCAATCTTGAGGCAAATTAAACTTTTCCTGTAGTTGTAAATTCAAGCAGATTAAGTTTATTAGCAGCAGTTCCCACTTACTAGATCAGCTTCCAACAGTTTTTTTTTTCCCTGTCTGGAGGGTCTTCTGACAAAGGACTTTGCTGGAACTTTTGAACCTCATCAACGGAATATAATTTTTTAAAGGAAACAGATTAACACAGGTAACAGTGAGAGCATAAAGCACACCACTCTGGATGCAAGATAACAAAAAGTGATAGAGGGAATCAGGCATCTTCTTAGCTCCTTCATTAAGGAGCTTCATTCATTCATTGTTTAAGGAAATATTGGATTGTTTGAGGAACAGTTGGATTTTGTGTTGAGGGACATGGTTTAGTGAGTACTATTGGTGATAGGAGGATGTTTGGACTGGATGATCTTGAAGGTCTTTTCCAACCTTGGTGATTCTGTGATTAAATGTAAGTTTTAGCCAGCTTTTCTGAGAAAGCAGGGCTTTTCTCCTGACATGATAATTCAGCGCACGTGTGCTGAGCCAAAAAGCCTCATTAAGTCACTCAGGACTTGTTAAGTCCTCAGCTAACTTTGCACCCTCTGACAGTTAAACAATCAGCCAAGTTATCTTCTTCCCTTCCCTCTCCTTTCAAAGATACTGTTGAAGGTTTTGATCATAATAATCTTGGATGAATGAATCTCCTTTAGTGTAAGACAAACTTACTTTGCCTTCTGGAATAATTACCAGAACCGCATGAAGTAACCCTACATTGCTTTAACTTCTCAATCAATCTCTTCAGCATTGAGGGCTTACCACAGACAGTGGTTTTCAGTATACACTGAAAGCTTCAGGACTGGATATCCAAGTCTAGAACCTATCTACATTAAAGCAACACTGTCCAAGAAGTAGATATTAAGAGGGAAAAATCATATCACAGTATCACTGCCAGAAATCCATCTTTATCCACTCAATACAAACAGCTAAGATTCCACAGTAATTATTCTGAATTAACTTTCAAACACCACTACATTTTTCACATTTCATGTTTTAAATTTATGGATTTTTGCCATGTCTAAAAATTAGGTATTCAAGTCTCACGTTCACAGCCCATACCACCCCAGGGGGGGAATATGCTAACAAGAACTCTATTCATATATGTACACACACTAAGAAGCACACCTACCCAGCTCAGTAGCTTTTCAAGCAACAATTGTATTAAATTCATCTTGCACCAGTTCTTGAGGCGTGCAGACTTCCATTCCTCAGTGAAGTCTTCAGATTTCAAAATTTCATATCATTTTGAATTTTAAGTACCTTGTTAAGCTGCACTGACATTAAATACTAGCTTTAAATTTTAAAGTTTTAATCATAACATGTACCTAGAGCGCACCAACTGTTAGTACACAAAAGTGGCAGACAGCACACACAGGAAACAGCTGAACTGTAGAGCAGTATCCACCCCTGACTAAAGGAAATGAAGTTTACATAACAGTGACTGTAAGCTTCCATCAGACACACACACACGAATGTGGAAGTCCTGAACTATTCACACTACTGCTTACCACTGCCTTCCTGCTCCCCCCAGACACTGAGATGAAGCACTGAGGCTCACGCGTATCAATAAAATGTGCTAACATTTATGTTGGCCAACAGCTAAGAAAACTCAAGGCAAAACCTTACAGAGCTGCCAATGCAATCTATTAAGACACTAGCTGCAATTATGCACTGAGTCACAATCAAATCTGGACAGAAAGCAAAGAATGCTGTAATACCCAAGGTTGCAATAAAGCTACTTCGTATGCAAATAAGCTACATACAACACCAGCTCTCCTCAAATTCTAGTAAGCTACTTTAAAGTGAGAAAGAAGCTTTTTTTTCCCTTTCAAAGAACGACCTTACTTCTAGAATCACTACAAAACAAGCCTAAGTCAACCTGGTTATGTTGTACCTACCCTTCTGATATTTCACAGGGGGAGGAAGACCTTTGAAGAACTTAAACTTAGCTATTCTTCACTGAGACAACAGTTAATGACTAAAGGTCAGCAACTACAGTCTAATCATTTCCAAGCATTTCTTAAATTAAGGGACATGTTTTAAAGCAAAAAGCCTATTTTATGAGCCTTTTCAATTGATTCCCCAACACCCATCCCTTATAAGAGATTTTTTTTTTTTTTTTTAAAGATCTGAAGGAAACAGACTTAAGAATTGTGTGTCAAAACTCAACAAAAATACTGAAAAAATTTCTAGCTGGAGTCTCATTCATGAGCTGCATGCAAGTTAGAGGATGCACAAAACAAAAGGTTAGGAGTTTGTTACTACCTAATCCAAATTAGTACGCTACTTCAGAAAAACAATTAGTCACATCGTTAAGTATTCACATGTGATAGCAGACTTGGTATGTACTCTGTATATCCCACAGCTTGTGAGGTTTGATAAGGTTGAAAGCTTAGCATTAGCCATTACTTAACACAAACTGTGAAACTACTTCAGAGTGAAAATCAACCCAGAATTTAGATTTCAACTAATAACTGCTTTGTAATTTGAGAAGACATGGAACAGATCACTCAATCAAATTTATTAAGTAAGCAAAAAATTCATAAAGGACAGAGAAGTGGACTCTTCAAACTCTAAATGTTAAGAGCAGGCTTTTAGGAACTAGCTTTAAACAAACTTTGGACAACATAGTAGATCATATTACACAAATAACATCTTCAAATCACTATAAAGGCAAAAAAAAGAGCTTACACAAGGGGATATAAGCCACTGACCTCTCACTAATTGCGTGCATTTCACAACATCTGTGTGCGGATGTTCAATGGTAATCTCAAAACCTTAAGAGTTAAGAACATATTTTAGAACAACACATTTTCATCTGTAAAATACACAGAAAACTCTTCCTTTTCCCTAAGACCTAATACTTGCAAAACCTTCCCAACACAGATCACGGAACACTCCAAGTACCTTCTATTCTGCATCCTTTCATATTGTTGATGGTAAACAGTAGAGCCCTTCAAAGATCAATATTCCTGCATTACTCTCAAGTTCTGTATAGTGTCTGTGAAGCTACTGCATTTTTAAAGAACGACATAAGAACAGTTTCCAGTACATCTGTAAGTCAGCACAAGCTGCATCACGGACACTGAAACGTGTGCACATGCATGCACTTTATTCAATCATTTCTGGGACTAACAGACATGTTGCATCCATGAGATTACCAACTAAGACAATTTATAGGCCAGTCACTCCAGAAAGCTATCTTTGTTTATAGAGCTATTTTAAAAAATGGGTCACTACTATTAACTTTTTTTATTTTTTTTTAATCACACACACTCAGTGGTATTTAAGTCAGTGTTCTCAGGCCTGCCAGCTTTGTCTTTATTGACATCACTTTAAAGCTAAAACAACTTCTTATCAGATTCTGGAATTACCTGAATCCATTAAACAGTAACAGTGCACATTTTGATGTTCAGAGGCAGTAACCCTACGCAATCACATTTTTCTATTAAAGACAAAATGGGGAAGAACATTTGGCATGAAGCTTTTACCATTTGCTTCAGAACACACACAGCTAACTTAGTACATGCTACCTCACATAAAGAAACATCAACACCATTACTATTATTTTGACGGGTATACTTCTTTACTCCATCAAAAAACTATCCAAACATTTGAGAAGTACTGGTATAACATTTCTCTCCAGAATGAGCACAATATGGAACTAGACTCACAAGTTACATGCAAAAACTAGTGAAATTTTAATATACTAGCAGTGCATCAAAAAAAATTCTGCTACCTGGGTCCCATTACTGGTTCATGAGAAGCTGGCTGCACAAAAGGTATTTAGGAAGACATACCTAAAGTTTGAAGCATTATTGTTTCAAGTATAACCAGCTCTTGAGCTTGCTGAAGATATGCCTAAAACAAACAAGCAAACACGTCAAGACACAGGTATTTATTGTCTCGATATTTCAATTATACACTTCCTTTTTAACTAATAGGCATGATCAATATAAATTAAAGAGCACTACCCATGTCACAGGGCACTGACAATTCACAGTGCTTCGCTGTATCCATTAGTATGTTCTTGCAAGTTTAGTTATACCAGCTTAACCACCCCTGGCAGCAAAGTTTCTTTACCCTGGATTTGATACTTGTAGCAGAGGTTTTTTTTTGCTTTTTTTTTTTTTTTGTTTGTTTTTGGAGAGTGGGGGACATTAGACACATTGTGGAGGCTTGCCAGTGCAAACTAACTCAAGTATCTCTAAGGAGGTTATGACAAGTACATTAAAATACAGCTGGACATACTCAACCAGCCTTAGTCTGGGCTCAAATATGTATCTAATACAGCTCCGTGTGTCACTTCATGAACAGGGAGCATGGCAAATAGTTTTGATTGCCAGTTCAGATCCAGCAGGGCATAACTAGCTCAGCCAGACCATTACGCAGAGTAACTGATGCATTTCCATCTTACTTGCTCATACACATGGTTCTAAGAAGCATCATAAAAAGAAATAAAATGAAGCGAGAGCTGCACAAAGTCTGGCAAATGCAAGGAAGACCAAACGTACAGCAGAGATGACATCTGTATGGCATCCCTTAAAACACAGTGTAGAAAATGGCACACAGTAAGCCTCGGATTGAGTATTTCTTCATCAGCATCTTGAAGTCTACATGAAGCACGAGACTTATAGAACCACACATGAAACCTCTTTAATGCCTTGTGTAGACTCCTACTA